GTCGACTTTCCCCCTGGAAAAATCCAAGATCTGACACTTTGGCCCTCGTGACCCTTGCGACCCTTTGACCGACTTTCCCCCTGAAAAAATCCAAGATCTGACCCCTTCGGGTCCGGGTGAAAATTTTTTTTTTTCAGTTTTCACTTTTTCCACAAACTTTTGAGAGTTCTGAATAGCCCGTCGCTTAAATAGTTGGAATCAACGTTCACCCGGCTAAAAAATTAGATTTTGGCGAAAGTCGACTTTCCTCCTGGAAAAACGGAAAATCTGACCCTTTGAAAATCTGAAAAAAAAACTTGTTCAGATTACGCTTTTTCCACGTACTTTTGAGATTTCTGAATAGCCCGTCGCTTAAATAGCTGGAATCAACGTTCACCCGGCTAAAAAATTCGATTTTGGCGAAAATCCACTTGCCCCGGAAAACCCGAAAATCTGACCCTTTGGCTGGGGCCAAAAAAAACGGTTTCTCAGTTTTCACTTTTTCCACATACTTTTGACAGTTCTGACTAGCCCGGCGCTTAAATAGTTGGAATCAACGTTCACCCGGCTAAAAAATTCGATTTTGGCGAAAATCCACTTGCCCCGGAAAACCCGAAAATCTGACCCTTTGGCTGGGGCCAAAAAAAACGGTTTCTCAGTTTTCACTTTTTCCACATACTTTTGACAGTTCTGACTAGCCCGGCGCTTAAATAGTTGGAATCAACGTTCACCCGGCTAAAAAATTCGATTTTGGCGAAAATCCACTTGCCCCGGAAAACCCGAAAATCTGACCCTTTGGCTGGGGCCAAAAAAAACGGTTTCTCAGTTTTCACTTTTTCCACATACTTTTGACAGTTCTGACTAGCCCGGCGCTTAAATAGTTGGAATCAACGTTCACCCGGCTAAAAAATTCGATTTTGGCGAAAATCCACTTGCCCCGGAAAACCCGAAAATCTGACCCTTTGGCTGGGGCCAAAAAAAACGGTTTCTCAGTTTTCACTTTTTCCACATACTTTTGACAGTTCTGACTAGCCCGGCGCTTAAATAGTTGGAATCAACGTTCACCCGGCTAAAAAATTCGATTTTGGCGAAAATCCACTTGCCCCGGAAAACCCGAAAATCTGACCCTTTGGCTGGGGCCAAAAAAAACGGTTTCTCAGTTTTCACTTTTTCCACATACTTTTGACAGTTCTGACTAGCCCGGCGCTTAAATAGTTGGAATCAACGTTCACCCGGCTAAAAAATTCGATTTTGGCGAAAATCCACTTGCCCCGGAAAACCCGAAAATCTGACCCTTTGGCTGGGGCCAAAAAAAACGGTTTCTCAGTTTTCACTTTTTCCACATACTTTTGACAGTTCTGACTAGCCCGGCGCTTAAATAGTTGGAATCAACGTTCACCCGGCTAAAAAATTCGATTTTGGCGAAAAATCCAAGATCTGACACTTTGACCCTTGTGACCCTTGTGACCCTTGAGCGACTTTCTCCCCGGAAAAATCCAAGATCCGACACTTTGGCCTCCGGTGAAAAAAATTTTTTTCCATTTTTCACTTTTTCCACATACTTTTGATAGTTCTGAATAGCCCGTCGCTTAAATAGTTGGAATCAACGTTCACCCGGCTAAAAAATTCGATTTTGGCGAAAATCCACTTGCCCCGGAAAACCCGAAAATCTGACCCTTTGGCTGGGGCCAAAAAAAACGGTTTCTCAGTTTTCACTTTTTCCACATACTTTTGACAGTTCTGACTAGCCCGGCGCTTAAATAGTTGGAATCAACGTTCACCCGGCTAAAAAATTCGATTTTGGCGAAAAATCCAAGATCTGACACTTTGACCCTTGTGACCCTTGTGACCCTTGAGCGACTTTCTTCCCGGAAAAATCCAAGATCCGACACTTTGGCCTCCGGTGAAAAAATTTTTTTTTCATTTTTCACTTTTTCCACATACTTTTGATAGTTCTGAATAGCCCGTCGCTTAAATAGTTGGAATCAACGTTCACCCGGCTAAAAAATTCGATTTTGGCGAAAATCCACTTGCCCCGGAAAACCCGAAAATCTGACCCTTTGGCTGGGGCCAAAAAAAACGGTTTCTCAGTTTTCACTTTTTCCACATACTTTTGACAGTTCTGACTAGCCCGGCGCTTAAATAGTTGGAATCAACGTTCACCCGGCTAAAAAATTCGATTTTGGCGAAAAATCCAAGATCTGACACTTTGACCCTTGTGACCCTTGTGACCCTTGAGCGACTTTCTCCCCGGAAAAATCCAAGATCCGACACTTTGGCCTCCGGTGAAAAAAATTTTTTTTCATTTTTCACTTTTTCCACATACTTTTGATAGTTCTGAATAGCCCGTCGCTTAAATAGTTGGAATCAACGTTCACCCGGCTAAAAAATTCGATTTTGGCGAAAATCCACTTGCCCCGGAAAACCCGAAAATCTGACCCTTTGGCTGGGGCCAAAAAAAACGGTTTCTCAGTTTTCACTTTTTCCACATACTTTTGACAGTTCTGACTAGCCCGGCGCTTAAATAGTTGGAATCAACGTTCACCCGGCTAAAAAATTCGATTTTGGCGAAAAATCCAAGATCTGACACTTTGACCCTTGTGACCCTTGTGACCCTTGAGCGACTTTCTTCCCGGAAAAATCCAAGATCCGACACTTTGGCCTCCGGTGAAAAAATTTTTTTTTCATTTTTCACTTTTTCCACATACTTTTGATAGTTCTGAATAGCCCGTCGCTTAAATAGTTGGAATCAACGTTCACCCGGCTAAAAAATTCGATTTTGGCGAAAATCCACTTGCCCCGGAAAACCCGAAAATCTGACCCTTTGGCTGGGGCCAAAAAAAACGGTTTCTCAGTTTTCACTTTTTCCACATACTTTTGACAGTTCTGACTAGCCCGGCGCTTAAATAGTTGGAATCAACGTTCACCCGGCTAAAAAATTCGATTTTGGCGAAAGTCGACTTTCCCCCGGGAAAAATCAAACACCTGACACTTTGGCCTTGGGTGAAAAAAAATTTTTTTTTTTCTCAAATATCTCAAAAACTACTCGACCGATTTCAATTTTTTTTAAATATTCGCCTTATTAATTCTTACGAAATATACCTCTCTCTCACACGCAGACCCCCCCGCTTCGATCTCCCTAGCCACCCGCCGTGAATTCCCCCTCAATTACGTTAGAAACACACTCAGTACGCAATTAATATAATAAAACGTCGGAACGAGACAAATTGTCGCACTTACCATGCACCAGGACGTGACGTCTCACCGTCTTTTTAGGGTAAATGGGGCTTGAGCTGAAAATGGGGAGGGGAGAAAAAAATACCTAGAGCAAAAATGTTGTACATGCAACGGCAAATAACAGAGCATGAGACCAATTTACAGTTTAACGAGAAAAAACGAGTGTTTTACGTGTCAAAAGAATTAATGCTGGTGGTTAGATGAGTTGAGTGTGAATAAAAAAAGGGGAAAAAAATGAATACATGGATGGGTAAGCCGGAGCGCTTTGTCAGATGAATTGTCCCCGCGGCGATCTGCGATCTTTCAGTTATACCATAACCGGCTTCATCCTTTGAGCGTTGTTAATAGAGTTAATCATGCACCCGGTAGCGAGATATTATAAACTGCCGAGCGTATGTGCGGTCACTCTATCCAAGAGTATCGTGAAACAGTTTCTCTGTGTATAATGGCATGAAAAGGGGGAGAAATATATGGCAACTTATATTAAACTTGTGGATCTATCGATGTGGGTCACCCCGTTCTGTTTCTACTGAGGTATAACAATGCATTGTTCCGGTATCAGAAACAATTGTCGAGGGGAGTTTTTCACTCAAACTCCGGGGGAGATGAATTTTTCGAGACTTTTCCACGAGTTTTTTGAGGTGTTTCAATTATTGGATACCGTGGTATCGCGCTTTAGCAATCTCTGTTGATTAGTTTTTCATTATTGAGAGATGAAGTACCGCTATTCGAGACGGGCTGAGGCGAAATTGTGGGCACAGGCATTTGCCGCGATATGAGTGTGCAAATACTCATTTTTTTTTTTGAAGAGAGATTTTTTGTGAGTTGACTCTTTATCGACTGATGGTAGGGAGATTTTACTTGAGTTATTGAGCAGTAGTTGTGAGGCGGACTGACAGATGTTATGAGAATGGATTTCTCGGTTTTGAAATCGGTGTTTTCATGCAATTGAGGAATTTGCGGGTGAAATTGAATTTTTAGAAATGGAAAAATGTGGGTTATGTTGTATTCACCTGAATTTCTCACCTGAACTGTTAATTCACGTTGTATAATCCTCGTAGATTCGTTATTTATTTATAGACTGCAATTAATCAATGAATATTTGACATTTTTATAAAAACAAATCCCTGTCGTAACATTTCGATTCGTGTGAAGTTTCATTTCATCGAATTCTTCAAAATAGATTATTTTTTTATTGTCAATTAAGGTGTATTAATTACATTAGACTCTTGATAATTCATCGTAGTACTTCGGCTATTTTTCCTCCGGTGAAATGCTTTTCTACTTTTGTAGTCGAACATCAGAGCTTTCATTTGAGTCCCATTTGACCCCAAGTTTCCGAACATTTTACAATGATTTTATTATTTAAACTTTACATAAAACATTTTAAAAATCTGAAAAAAAAAATTATAAACTTTTGGGGGTCGATGGCTAGGGCTCAGCACAAAAAATGCAAGACTGAACGATTTCAAAGCTTCCATTCGAAATAAAAAAAACAATTACCCCGAAAATGAAAGAAAAAATCGTAAAATTTCACTGAGTCAAATGTGCGCTTAAATATTTTTACATGAAATCATGATAAGGTCGATTGAATATACAATTCACCCGTTACATTTCCCCCCATAAACATGAACGTCTGCTCAGCAATCGGCGAGAGAGGCCCTCCCATTGCTCTCCGGGTCACAATCGTGTCACTCAATTTCCCCGATAAAGATAAGTTTTCTCATCGTGAAAAGTTTATCACGAATAACAAACGTCACTGACCACGTTTAAACCACCGACAGTGCAAAATCTCCGGCAGACGTGTTAGCGACACGAGAACTCGTCATTCGAATGAACCCGGGTGACTTGCGCACCCACAAAATCAATGCACCGGCCCTCGAGCTGTGGCAGTGCGGCACCGCCGAGACAGGACGTGCCCGTTGTGCCGTCAAACTCGTGTAAAATAAAAAATTTACCAGGCAAATTAGCGTTATTTCGTGGATATCAATATGTGAATATTGAGGAGAAAATGCCGTCGAGGGAAGACATGGATATGTGCACAGACAAGGTGCTGTCCAAGGGGAGAATCCTCCAGGAGCTCACCAAAGCTGTCAAATTGGTGAGTACCTCATACATTAGTCTGACTCTCTCATGTATTTGTCGTCAAGGCCGTATGCATGTACACCACACATTCAACGAGTCATACGTCACAATAGTGAGTGGAAATGAGTGAAAGAACTCTAATTCTGCAGTGCAGAACAATCTCCAGACGATTTCTTTACTTTTACCAAATTAATTTTCTTCAAATGTTATTTTGTTAATTTATTTGGGGGGAGTTGTGGTCGGCTGATGTTTAATTGGATAGTGTGAATTAATGTCTCAATTTAGTGCGGGTTTAGAGTCCGGGATTCTAGTTCGCATTGCGTGATTCATCAATCAACAGTTTTTCGAGGGGTGACAATCAGCTGACAGTTGTCAATCTATTTCGGTTGGTTCATTTTTAATTGTTAATTTTTGGGGGTTTAATTAGATGGCTTTAGGTTATGGGACGAGGCTTTGTTGAGAATGAGATGTTCTATTTTTTTAGCAGATTCTGGGGCAAATGCAATGGTCTGGGAGTTTTAAATATGTCTCATTTAAATATGAGTAGTCTCGAGACATTTATCTAGTTAATTTTCTTCAATTACTATTTCCAAATCATTTAAAAATGAGGGAAAGAACTCTCAGTCTGCAGTGCAGAACAATCTCCAGACGATTTCTTTACTTTTACCAAATTAATTTTCTTCCGATGTTATTTTTTTAATTTATTTGGGGGGAGTTGTGTTCGGTTGATGTTTAATTGCGAAGTGTGAATTAATGTCTCAATTTAATGAGGGTTTAGACTCCGGGATTCTAGTTCGCATTGCGTGATTCATTAATCCAGTTTTTCGAGGGGTGACAATCAGCTGATAGTTGTCATTATTTCGGTTGACTCCTTTTGAATTGTTAATTTTGGGGGTTTTAGTTAATTGGTTTTAGATTTGGAACGGAGAATTTGTTAAGTAAGAGATGTTTTATTTTTTTTAGCAGATTCTCGGGCAATATGTTTCATTTCAATTTATTCGATTAATTTTCTTCAATTATTATTTTTTCAATCTTTTGAAAATGAGTGAAAGAACTCTCATTCTGCAGTGCAGAATAATCTCCAGATAATTTTTTTCCCTTCAACAAATTAATTTTCATCAAATGTTATTTTGCTAATTTACTTGGCAAAAATTATTTTCATTTAATGTTCCAGTGGAATTTTTTCAATTATCATTTTTCACATCATTTTAGGCAGAATTATTTTCATTTAATGTTTCATCTCGAAATGCGAACTTTGAACTTTTAATTTAGTGAGGGTTCAGACTTTCGAATTCCAGTTCGCATTGCGTGATTCATCGGTCACCAGTTTTTTTTTTTCGAGTGGTGACCATCAGTTGTCAATCTATTTCAATTCGTTTATTTAGGATAATTAATTCTGGTGTTTGCAATACCTCAGTTTCACGTTTTGGAAGGACGAGTTGTTAAATAAGACATGTTTTCTCTTTTTTTTTAATAACTGGAGGCACTGATTCGTGTTGCGAATTATTTTTACGGTTTTTATTTAATTGGTGGAGAGGCTCCGAGACTGGGGGCATTGTTTGCTTTTTAATCATTACGGTGTTATTATTTTTGAGGGAGGGGTTTTGGAATTCGGTATCGATTCCCGATAATTGCACTGTCAATTCAATTAGTGAGATATTCAGCGAAATTGGAGGCATCGATTTTGGAGGGGATTTTAGGCACATTTTTTGTTACTGCACAGATTAGTTTTTCAAGCAGAATTGATATTTAGTTGAATTTTATTTTTCAATTAATTTTGTACCATTGAAAGAATTCCATTGAAATGCTGAAGAAAATTAATTTCAATTCTTGAAAAAGTTTTTGTTCATAATCCCAAAGAGGAAAAATGCGGAGAATTTTGTTAAAATCATCTGCCTGTTGCCAAATATTTTCAATTCTGAACTGTAGCAATATTTTATTTCTTCAGATAAATTTATCACTCCCTTGAATTAAATTACTCATTAATCGTAGTGGCTGTTTCATTTTTTATATCAGAAAATATTCTCAAATTAATTGAAGAATTACCAATTCGAAAAAAGTCATAAAAAAAACAAGTTGCGCATTTAATCGAAAAATTTCTGTTTATAATTTCAAGAGGAAAAATGCTGAGAACTCCCATAAAATCGTCTAATTATTGTCCAATACTTTTAACACTATTGTTCAATATTCGTGTGAATTATTTTCTTAAGATTCTCTAACGGAGTCATTGTCCATGTTATCGAGGTAATTGTGGGTTTAAAATGTGCGGAATGTTGTCAATATTATCAGAATCTACATAACGCCATATCGAGAAATTGAGCCCTTTTCATGCCGACGCCCGCATTGTATCTTCTTCAAAGAAATTGATCATTGTCCCTTCAAAGAGTGACTTAACAGATTACTTGAAATAACAGTTCAATTCATCACATCACCACAAAATAATTTGAAACCAATCAAACAATCATCAATTCTTTAAAAAAATCAAAAAAGCTCATCTGCAACAGAACTTTCAATTACAAATCTGTTCCGAATTTAATCACTCACCAAAGTACTAAAAAAATTGAATTCCGCACAATCCACAGCATCAGAAAACCCCGAATTTTTCTCGAACACGTAGTGACTCACTCCCCAGCCCGAATAAACATCTCAATCAACAGCGGCGTCCATCTCTTATCACTGAGAAAAGAAAAATTTGTTGACCAGTACAAAAATAATCACCCTTCACTCTTTTAGGTGTACGCCCAGAGTCTCCATGGCTCAGTGGTGTTGGACGGTGATTCCTGGCTCGTGTACTGGCTTGATCGTGCCCTGCGCCACGGATTACGAGTCGAGAGACACGGATATTGGGGAACAGTGCGTGAGCTCAGTCACCAGGACACAATAGTCGTGATTCACGCTCTGCAGAGTGTCCTGACATCGATTGGAAAAGGTGAAGGCCAGCTCAAGTGTGAATTAATTTAATCAATTAATTCATCAATCTTCATGAATTATTTTTCTCCTGACATTTGCCTGCAGGACGAGCCTGGCTGTATCACACTCTGAGTGAGGGAAGCTTCGAGAGTTATCTGGCTTGCTTCTTGAGGGATACAGTCACCCTGAAGAAGCAGTATTTCCCCCATGCTCTTGTGCGAGACGCTGACAAGACTCATCAATTGATTAATCTACTAGCTGGCCTAGAGAATGTTTCTTTCACTCTTCAATTGGTAAGAAAATTCCGATTGATTGGTATTTCTCTAGAGTTCATTTTCTACATTCAATTTGATCCCTGGGGATATACAAGTACTTTGGCCACTTTTTACTCCAGTGAAATGATTTGCATTTGACCCAAAATTCACGGATATTTTACAATGTTTTTATTATTTAAACTTTGAAGGTCTAAATTAGAATCTGGATATTAAACGCTATAAAAACATTTAAAAAATCTGAAAAAAAATTGGAAAGTTTACTTTTGGAAAAGATTGATGAAATAAATTAAAAATTGCAATTTTGGAAAATTACGAGCATTTTCTGCAAATAATTTATAAACAATCAATTTTCCACCATAAAAATCATTTGTTCAGAATCGTAAAAAATTCATTCATATGAAAAATTTTACCAAAACTCGATTTTATGCCTAAAAAATGAGCTTTCCGAAAGTTTAAACAATTTTAATTATTTATTTATAAAAACCAATGTTTAAAAAAATAATAATTCTGTGGAAAATGTCATTTGAATTCAATTCGATTGACAAATTTGATGATTAAAAATGGTTGAATCTATATTCTGGTCTGTACCAAACTGTAAAAGATACTTGGATATCCTTAATACCATTTCGCTGCACTGTTATCCCATTTTTCTGACTCTACAAGATTTTAAATGCAGTATCATGCAAAAAAGAGGGAGAATCTTACGACATACATCGATAAATTTTTATCAATCTTCCGTCGGTCACCTCTTCTTCGCCGATCGACAATTTCTTTTTCGTCTTAAGCGAGCCAGCTGTAAACACGTTCGATACGGTTCGCTTATCGCAAAAGTTATAATAAATTCGAGTCAGTTTATTTCCGTCCTTTGAGAAGAAAATAAAATTGGAAAAAGTAAAATGAATTAAAGCGATTCCATTGAATAATATCGTATTAAATCGAGTATTTTCCTCCGATATTTTCCTACAATTGAAAAATGAAAAACTAATGGAGCATAAAAGATCAAAGGATCCCAGTCAATTTACTATCTCCCTCGAATGCCAATATCACCCCCTGGTTACAATTATCATGACCGAATAAAAGAACATCCCATTAAATGCATCCATAATACACTGATACACTTGTTTTTAATGTTATGAAAGGTCATGAGTTCATCCAAGCCAACTGTCTAGATTGTTAAACATTCTCTCTTATTTTTATATCTAAAAACACCAACAATCAGCTGTGGAAAATCTCGAGTAGAGTTCATTGAAGGGAGTGATAAAAATATCACAAGTTTTTTTTTCTAATTTACACTCCATCAACCCTGACTTCGTCGAGTTTAATTATGAAATAAAAAATTATTTTTATCTCTTCATTCTCTTTTCATTGATGAAAATAATGTATTGAGATGAATCAATATTTGTTTCAGTCCTTCACTTTCACATTTTCCATCACCAATGTTGAATTAATTAAAATTTATCTGTTTTTAATCCGAATGAATAACAAGTTTATATTAATAATTCATTCATATTGTTTGAATTAAACTTATGGCGTAAGCAACAATTGCTGTCAACAATTCCTCTCTAATTTTGATGCTTAAAAGAAAAATTTGAAAGTTCAATAGTTTTTTTTATCAAATAGTAAATTAATCAATTGATTGAATAATAAAAGAATCAGTTATTCTCATCTCTTCATTCTCTTGTCATTGATGAAAATAATGTATTGAGACAAATCAAAATTTGCTTCAGTTCTTCACATCTCACATTTTTCATCATCAATGTCGAATTCATTAAAATTTATCTGTTTTTAATCGGAATGAATAACAAGTTTTTATTGGTAATTCATTCGTATCGTTTGTGGGAGGAATTGAACTTATGATTTAAGCAATAATTGCTTTCAGTTAGTTGTCCCACAAAGAAAAATTTAATACTTTAATAGTTGTTCTATCAAATAGTAAATTAATCAATTGATCCAATAATAAAAGAATCAGTTGTTCTCGTTTCTTCATTCTTTTTTCGTTGATGAAAATAATGTATTGAGACGAATCAATATTTGCTTCAGTCCTTCACATCTCTCTTTTTCGATCATCAATGTCGAATTCATAAAATTTTTCTGTTTTCAATTTTAAAGAATACCAAGTTTGTATTAATAATTCAATTACATTGAACTCATGATTGAAATACCAATTTAAAGCTTAAAAAAAGGTCTTCCAAATGCGCAAAAAAATCTCAAAATTTTACTCTGTCATTCCGCAATAATCCGCCATTAAGAACATCCATTTTACCTTCTATTCTCCCTTAAATCCAAAGAAAAAAGTCAAACGTCAACAGTTTTCTGACGAAAAAAAATTTCCAGTAAAAGCCAACCCATTTCTTTCAGGATGTCACATACCTGGACATCTGCAACTACATGCCCCAGCGTCCGATGAGTGGTTCCCCCTCCGGGACCGCTCTATCCCTCCACCTGCGCTCCTCCAGCGTGACCTCAAGCCTGGCCTCCCCAGGCGACTCCGGCGTCGCCCTGGACAGTGACATAGAGGGTGCAAACGAAACCGACGCAAGTAGCTATAAAGAGGAGGACTACTCCATGGAGGACATTCCAAAATACCGCACCATCAAATACAAATCAATCATGACATGCCCCCAGGACAATAAAAACCTCGACCGCTCGTTCTCCTCAAGTGACTCAAGCGAAGACGGTAAGACCCCAGTCCACTCGCCCTCCCTGAAATCCAAGTTTCCACACCCAGGAATGACAAAGAGCGACATTGCCAATCAGAATATCACGACGAAGATGGATGATAACGAGTTAAACTGCTCAAGTTTGGACACACTGAAGGATTACAACATCTACAGCAAAAGTTTGGACGAATCACGTCTCGACAAAGTCAACAATGAGATTGATAATGCATCAAAGGATTACAGCAAACGGAGTAGTTACTACGCCGACGGCTACAGCTTCAAGAAGAGCGTTGATCCACGTAACTCGTACGTCATCAACAATGACACGAATCTGTTGGAGCTCAGCATGACAATATCGGACTGCGACTGCTGCACAGAGACCCCCTACAGCATTCTGAACACAATAAACATGACGGACACGAGTATTCTGTCGTCCTCCGGCTCCGAAGCAGTTGTGCAGCGTCGTCAGAGGAAGAAGAAGCGCGGAGAAGCGAAGAAACGCGTGAGCTTTCACGAGGACATCTTCAAGACGATGAAGCTCGACGACGACGAGAACTTCGCCGACTTCTCCATGAGCTTCGTTCCCCCGAACTCAGTACAGAAGAAGGACGCGCAGAAGGGGAGATACAGCTGGTGTGGCAACGGGGATTCCCCGTACGTTCAAAAATCCATAAGCACCAGAAAAGCGAACTCCGATTACTACTCGTCGTCGTCGTCCGGGAGTGTCTTCGACAGTGACTACGGTTGCAAATCACTGGCGAAGATCTGCGACCGTGCAATTTGCCAGAAGAACTCTCGGTGCACGTGTGGGCCGTCGATGTCAGAGCGAGGAGTGCCAGAGGGACAAGAAGATCCTGGCAAGAATTTCAAACCAAAGATGGAGATTGAACTTGAGGAGAACGAGGCACAGGAGGCGTACATCGTCGAGAAGAAGTGTGGCTACATAATTGAAGATCCACCGGTGGAGCTGGAGAGCCCGACGCCACCGCGAAACTCGAAATACACGAGCTCCAGTGATTGGTCTGATGTCGACAGTATGACAACATCAACGGATTTGGAGGAGCGTCGTGGCTCTCGTCACTTGGCGTCACCCTTTAAGAAGCGAAACGTGACATCTGTATTGCCGGGTGACAGTGGTAGACTCGGTGTGTCAACTATGCGCCCAGCTACCTCGAGTACCTCATTACTGAGCCGATTTTTACGATCAATAACTGAACGTAAATTCGAGATAAAGAGGAACAAAAAGCCACCAAAACCAAGTACACTGTACATCAAAGGGGCGAAGGCCGATTACGACACATTCAAAGATTTCAACGACAACTTGGAGAAGGAGATACAGGAGAACATTGTTGCTGAGAAGCAGGAGTTCAGTGGTGAAAAAATAAGTCTCAAACTCCGTGAAATATTCAAGCGTCACATCTACAGAGACAAAACAGAGGAATTGTACAAAGTATACAAGATTCGGAGCTCTTACATGAACAACGGTGACAGTAAGCCAATGCTAGCTCTGCTGACCGACAAAACCCTGTACTTGACTGGTACAAAGGGGGACAACAGCTACAGCAATCAATTCGTTATACCGTACAATGAACTTGACGTTATAATGATCGGGCCTAATGCACAAACGATTTTGATATCAAACGCCGATTATGAGATGCAGTACTTGTTCTCAACGGGCAGTTCGCAGACGACATCGGAGTTGATATCCCATTTGGAAATGGCAATGAGAAGGTCACCATCAAAGCCACGATTGCCAGCTGTTAAGGAATTGAGTTACGACGATATGCACAGTTTGAAGCACTCTATATTAACGGAAACAGCTGTGCATTGTGACGAGAAAATTGAACACTACAGCTTGATATACATGGAGGACGATCATATATCACCACCGAGTACACCGTGTGGCCCGACTAAAGAGGGCGATCTTATGTTCAGACCCCATTCTTATCAGGCACATCCCAATGCACCCACTAATGCCTGGGAGGCTGGGTATTTTGTTCTCAAAGGTGGTGTTGTTTACATGTTCACTGATTCAAGCCAGAGACTACCTAAACGCGCTATACCATTGAAGGGGGGCTTGTGTCAGGGCTGCAGACGTATACCAAATTCACACAGGCCTCATACGTTTGAGATACTACTTAAACCTAATAAGTCGTTTCAGTTTGCTGCACCTGATGAGTATGTGGCAAGCGAGTGGCTACAGAGTTTTGTGCAGAGTGCCTCGGGGCTGTTTGACACCAATGAGACAAGTAGTCCCATGCCGTGTAGTCTTATTGCTACAACAAACCATCTTGTTGCTATGAAGGAAGTTTTCCCGGGGACACAGAGGGGACAGACTTTATCTTGTGCTTGTGTCGAGGATCTTACCGCGTTTAGGGTGCCTCTGGCACAACAGTCTTGGTGCATTTTGGTAAGTGGGGTGATTACATTGATGGATTAATGTTGGTGTTGTTGGTTATCGCGGGGGACGTTGGAGCGATTTTTGAGATATAGAGGAGGTTTGTTTTGTTGATGGTTTTTGGAGGGCTCGAATAGTTCGGTAGAATTTCATTAGTTAGTGGTTTCTCTTTTTTTAAAGGAATTTGCTTGTCGGGAGGTTCATGAGAGCAGCGGTGATTGGGTGATTTATTTTACGAATTACACTGAACTTTGCGCCTTTCGAGAGGTTTTAGAAACACTTTGGGCTGATGCCAATTTGGTGAGTAATATTAATATCGGTTTGTTGGTTATTCAGTATAATTTATTTCATTCATCGCACTGTTGGAGATTTTTGGAGGAAATTTCTGGGACAGTTCTTGAAGAGTTTTATTTACTGAAATTTTAAAGAATCTTGTTCTTGAAAATTTACGTTTTTGTGGAATTTAAATTTTTCATTTCAGTGGAATTTTTTTATTTAAATTGAATTAAATTTTTTATTTTAATTTTTTTATGGAATTCAAATTCCATAAAATTGAACTGAAATTTACAGCTTTCATTGATTTTTCCTCTTCCTCCTGTTGCTAAAAAATTTGGAATTTTATTGAATTTTTAATGAAATCTGGCATTTCATAATTTTTCCCCTAAATCAAATTCAATGTCATTCTCCTAAGCCAGCTCCTCAACATTCCCTGAAATTTCAAATCACCCCCAACAGTGCGAATTACCGAGAAGAAACTCCCTTTTCCTTGCATCTAAGACAATAAGAACTAATATGACATTATTAAGTTAAGCGAGTAGAATAAAAACTTGAGATGAATTTTTATGACCCCACAGGGTGAATTTCCCATGGTAACGCTTCCACCGGAGAACAAACTCCACCGAAGATGCTCAGACGCTAGTAAAGATCTCGAGCATGCATGGAAACACCTATTACCAGTATCGCACGAATGAGTCGAGTAAATTCCCACATAATCGCCCCAGCAATTAATTAACCATTAAAATCCAATAAGCGCTACTTGAGTTTTGAGATCGTGAGGAGCCCCCGACTTCCTCATATGTATTCCCAGCATATCAGTGGAGCTCATTTCCAACCATATAATATAAAAATGAGTGGCTTACTTCTCTTCATTTCCAACATTCGCAAACAAAAAATGCAAATAACTTATTTTCGGAGTAAAAGGGGAAGAAAATACTCGGGCTCCTCTGATCTCATAGTTACGACGTAGATATATATATATATTTGAATGCGAAACTGGTGCAATATATAATCATTTGCAGAGGGGTTTAAAGTGAAATAAAAATATATGAAGCCCTGAGATTATGAAGGATATTATTTACTCAAGCCAGGAAAAGGAGTGGCAGAAGGAAGAAGGAATAAAGAATATTAAGTCAGGGGCAATATGAATATATATTCGTACTCTTAAATTTTTTTTCTCATAGATTTATAAACGTGATTAAATTAATTTATGATGGAAAGACTGTTGAGCAATGGAATGTTCCATTGGTAATTGAGGGGAGGAGGAGAATTGTAATCGTATGGATGTCTACAATAATCAGCATAATAGAGAGTGTGTCGAGATATTAATGAAAATTGCACAGCATGCATCTGATCGTGTTACATCATTCGGAGAGCATCGTGAAATTGGCGGATAATAATAGAAAATCTCCACTTTCTCTTTATTATTCGATACAGAATAGAAGTGACAAATTATCATTAAGTTTATTCGAGTATTTTCTTATGCAGTTACTTTGTCAGAGAAGTAAATGTTCATTTTCTATGAATACCATTGCGAATAACGATGGATTATGTATTGTAAGAAATTGTGGTGCTTCAATCAGTGTCAACGTATACTCAGATATGATAATTGAAGCCAATTATTATGCTTACGTTGCTCATTATTAATTTTAGTTTCAATGTTATTTTGTGTTTACGCTAGGGCTACACGATATTTTTTACCGCAATTATTTTTTATCCTGGTGGCAGGTCAGTGCAGCCAGTTATTAATTTGTGAATAGTCGGAGAATAAGAGTAACGAAAATTAATGGTAAAATGCAGCTGTTGCAAAATTGTGATAGAAGCGGTAGTGCGTAGAGATGGAAAAACAAAAAAAGTCCATTGTACACATAAAAGTTATTACTTTATGGTATTTAAAATATTGGATCAATTGTGATTTATATGAATTGTGTGGACGTACATGTATTGTAGCTAACGTTCGGTTTTTTTTTCGTTTTTGTTTACCATTTTTTTCTCGTTTGTTTTTAACGTAGTAATTGGTGTGAACGAGCACTCGGGTTCCATAACAGTTGGCGATTGTAGTGCTCTCGTTTTCACGGCAATAAAAACACCATTTTCGGCAGTCAAAGGGGTTCATTGAAGAATTGAGTTTAATGATATAATATCACGTGAAATAGTTACCAAAATGAATTGTACAAGCTAGTCAGGTGAATAAAATGCAATTTTATCTTCAATTTTTGATTACTATGGGCTGTGGGTACTACGTCTGGCATTTTTAACATTCATTTGGTGTTTTAATTCCATTGTTTTTGCAGGAATGAAATTTAGTCGTTTTATGATCGACGAGTGGAGAAAAGATATTTTTATTGAGGTAAAAATCGCCTACATCTGGATATTGCTCTCGAATTGGAAGCCTCCGGAATATCTCAAACATTTTAATAAATAAAATTCGATGGAAAGAATGATGAATGGTTTGGAGCAAGAATTGACGACATTAATTGAGTTGTTCGAAATTATCTCAAATATTTTTTTAGATAGTGATTTCCGTTCTTTGCGTCTAACAAGCCATTTGTCTGCATTTTTTGAGAAATTTTCTCATCGCATGAAATATTTACTTCTAATGAATTTTAAAAACTAGTCCGGTGAATAAAATGCAATTTATCTTAAATTTTTTATTTGTGGAGTGTTTATTTACATTGTGGGACACTATCAATTCAAATATTTCAATAAATAAAATTGGACGGAAAGAATGATGAAGAGTTTGAAGCAAGAATTGATGAAATTAATTGAGTTGTAGATACTGACTTTCTTCAGAAATTTTCTCACTGCATAGAATAGTTACCGCGAATGAACTTTACAAGTCGGGTGAATAAAATGCAATTTTATCTTGAATTTTTTATTCGTAGAGTGTTTATTTACATTGTGGGACACTATGTCTGGCATTTTTGACATTCATTTGGTGTTTTTAATTCCGCTGTTCGCAGCAGGAAAAAAAGATGTTTTTATTGAGGAAAATCGTCAGATTCGGGGGGTACGTAGTGCGCCACGGATCGCCTACATTTCATAGCTTTGTCAATGTCCACATCTGGATATTTCTCTCGAACTGCCTCAACATCCACATTCGGAAATCTTCGGAATATCTTTCGCACAATTGCTTTGTGTTCGCTGTAAGAATGATCGAGTTTCAAATGTATATAAATAAATAAATATAGATGGGATGAATGATGAATAGTTTGAAAGAAAAATTGATGAGATTAATTGAGCTGCAGATACTGACGTTATTCCTCTGCGTCTAGCAAGCCACATCTTCTCTTTGAATTTCCTGAGGAATTTCGACACTGCGTAACCCCCATGTGAAAAGATATACTTCTTGCGAAAACCGCTATTTAACCATTTTGGGATTGGATGTTGACACATTTTGTACCAGCGTCTCAAACCTAGTGAAAATAACAGAATTTAATGATCTTTAAACACAACGAATGGATGAAGAACAATTTTTGCATCAAGCAATGTTCATATCTGATTTTTAACATTTAAGATATCATCATTTAAGGATTCACCCATTTTCAATCATCAAATTCGTCAATTAAATTCCGTGAGAAAAATTTGAAAAAAATCATGAATATTCAGCGTCAATCAATTCACATTTTGCATAGAATTATTATTTTTTCAAACATTCGTTGTTTATAAATAAGTAATTGAAATTGTTTGAACTTAAATATCTTATTCATTAACAGGTGATAAATAGAGACATTTGATTCCCATCAATCGTATTGTTTTTTGCAAAGAGAATTATTATAAACAATTAATTGAAAAAAGGAACATCGAATCTGACAGCAAAAAGGGCATAACGAAAAGGCATCACCCCGCTGAGAGAATGCCAATATGTTGTCATTGCAAAATTAAATTAACAAGTGACAAGAATGAAAATTACCCAATTGATCTCGAACAGTTTTCATCGGTCTCTCTCCATGCACCCCAGTCTCGAGATAATGATAAGCCTGATTCCTCTCTCTCACGACTTTCTCCAAATTCTCCATGCTCTCCTCCACTTTATCGATTCTCTCAGGATTTGGAAAATACTCCCACTCTTGGGCATGTGCATGCTCCATGGTCATGAGCATATTCCTCTCCTTGAGTAGAATGTACCTGAAGTGAGACTGAACAATTAGATTATCTGGGAAGCAGGCGAATTATTTTGAGTGGAATTTCAACTTGGGTACTCGCCAGAGTTTGTGAAGATCTTCATTGCTCTTTATTCTCAATTCGTCCAGCTTCCACGAGCGTCCAGTCTTTACTGTTGTCTGACCCCAGTTTTTCTTATCGTCGAAGAATGCCATTAGAGGATGGGGAGGGGGTGGCTTTGTGCTGTATGAATTTTGGGGACATATTCTGAAATCGAGAATTAATTTCCCTGAATCAGTTTTCAAGGAAAAAGTATAACTTTTTACACGTTGGCAGGAAAAATTCTTAAAAATGAACAGACTTTCATTTTCGATATCGAATAATTTGAAGTTCATAAAAAGCTGATTTTCTACGTTTCGAAAAATTTTCCAGCTGAATAAATGTCGAATCAACATTCATTTGGCGAAAACAAGTTTACATTAAATTTCAGCTCAAGTTCGCACTAAATTTGAGTTCTTTTTCAGATAGAATTTAAAGTGAAAATTAAATTTTTTCATTTCGACGACATTTGAGAGGTGAATAAATACAGAATCAGCATTCGCTTGACGAAAAAATCATATTTTACCGAAAGTCGAATAAGAAACGATAGAAAATGTTCATGTGAAGCTTAAATTTCCGATGAGTTGAAGTGATTCAGTCGGTAATATAACAAACTAATAATTGGGCAACAGTGACAATAAAACTCGATCATATTAAAACTCTGTTCACGAGTAAAAAAATTCCCATAATGCCTTAATAAAATTTAAATAAAAATTAATCATCATTAAAAATTGCAAATGTATACTCCAAAACAGTTGTCATAACCTCTCTTTCCAAAACATCCCCAAATAACCAGCGAAAGATTGAAATATTTGCATGAAAATAGTATTCAATACCTCGGAATAAGCGAAGCCGTTGGTGGAATAATTCTGGAATTAACTGACAACGATAAACTATTGAAAAACATTGAAACATTTTTTACTGCTCCAGAAAGCCTCACGGCTTTCACGAGGGCCGCCATATTGGCTACTGGTGGATTTTCATTTTTATTCCTGGGGGGAGGGGGGTCATTTGTACAATTTGAAGCGAATTTTTTCGCAAAGTGAACGTTGATTTTGTATTTTTTCATGCATTTATTTACATTTGTGGATATATCATGTTCAAGAATTTTTTTTGTGTAGAAATCGCGAAAAACAGTTTTCACTCTCTTACTAGTCTTAAGTACGTTTCGCAGGGGGTTGCGGATTTTTTATGGGATTGAGGGAGTCCCTAGAAACATACTCCAGTAGGAATTGTAAGTTTTTTTTAAATATTTCATGTTAAAAAGATTTTTTCATTTTCATCTGGATCAAAGGACAGATCTTGGATGTATTCAGGGGGAAAGTCGACTTTCGGCAAAATCCAATTTTTTCGTAAGGCTCATAGGTCAAGGAAAAAATAAAACAACTCGTACATTAATTTTCCATTTACTGTGAATATTCATCTTTTAACAATGCTCCTAAACAACAAATTCATGTGAACAAGTTACATTTCTTTATTTTCAAATCTGTCACACAAAAGTTTGAATTTTTCGAATGAGAAAAAACAATGATAAATGCATTACTGTAGTTTTTTGTGTAGATACCACACGATGAGACGATTATTCATACGGTGATGGTGTCGAAATGAACGGCATTTAATTACAAAATGGTATATAACTGTAGTTCAACCCCATCATCGACTCCCATTCAATCAAGTAGAGTACGTGGATTTTAAAAAAATACACTGATCCACTGATTTCAAAAAGTTTCTCACCATAATTTTCACATTTTCATTTTCTTCCTCCTCGATTCTTTCTTCTCCAGGGGACGGTGGTTTCATTTATTACAAAAACACTTCATGTCTGTCATTCATTACTGACTATTTCCATTTTTTCATCAATCATTGAATAATCCCATTGATTTTCTTTCAAAATAATCAGACGAACCACGCAGTATTTACATGTTTATGTTGATTTTCTTTGTGGCTTCTGTCCCTTAACGACTGACGGCTTACCCTTGATGAAGCCCTTCTTGCGTCTGGCCGTCTGAAACAATCAGTTACGTGCCCCCCAGAACTATTAACAACGTTTGTATACAACTCTGTCTCATCAAAATTAAACAAATGGAAACGATACGAAAGAGACGAAAAAACATAGACGTCTCTTTTTTCTCATTGCACTTTAGACTGAAGTACAAACCTTTTTACTGTGATAACTACTAGTGGGTCGAACAATCGTGCGCTCGGATATTGGAATTCTCGGTCGATTGAATTCGTCAGGCTTCTTTACCCTAGAACATATCAACATTTCACATTTATTGCGGAGACGAATTTTCCAGTTCATCGAAACAGGAAAAAATTGTGGGAAAACTTTGCGAATTCGATAGAAAATTCTATTAGAATTGAATACTTCCACAGCTTCACTGCGCGTTTTTTAAAGAAAAAATTTTAAATGGAAACTATTTTACCGAAAAAATCTGTAGAATTTCATTTCTCTGTACAAGTTTTCCTGAGATATGTTCTCTGGGACTTCCTCCACATGAATTCATGTTTTTTCACTTTATTTCTCTCCTCTTAGATTGAAAAAAATCCAACGAAAAAACTTGGAAAATTTGAGTCGAAGAATTTCTGTAGGAAATATCTGAATAGAATAAATTGTCTAAAAAAATCGAAATCTGTCGATTTTTTCTATAGAATATTTTCCATTGAATATCTCATTGCAATATCAATGGTTAATGAAAGAAATTGAATTATGATTTTTTTTTTTTTCGTAATGAATAATAATACCAAATTCCTCCGGATTTCCATTTCCAAAAACCCCCCATCAACCCCCAAAATCTCCAAAAAACTCACCTATAAATCCTAACAAGCCAGTGTTCAGTGGTGTAGGCCTCTTCCAGGTACGTAAGTTTAAAATTCTTATTCCCTATCTCAGCATTCCTAGTGCGATCAAACCCCGCGGGAGATCTATAATCCATAACGACCTCACCAAACCGATAATAGCTGAGCTTATACATGAGAGAATTGAGTAAAGTGGGCGATCCCTGTGAGTCCACCCTGAACTCGCCCCTCTCCGTGAAGTAGTCGCTCTCCCGAATGTCCTGAGGATGTTCGCCCTCGGCGATCCTCACCATCCACAGGAACTTATTGATGTCATCCCCGGAGTACCCAATCATCCCCCCAAAAATCACGAGAACATAGTCGACATCCAACGACGTCATGATGTCGTAGGCCTTGTCCTCGGTGGAGCTCATGGCCTTTCCCACGAGGGCAATGTGAGAATTATTCCAGGTGTTGTTGTCCACGAGAGTCGTTCGGTTAGCCATTCCAGCGATTTGATAGCCGTAGTCCCACCAGCTCATGACCCTGGCGTCGTTGGGTGTGTTCTGTGCGAGCCAGTAGTAGGCCTCCCTGAAATCATCGAGAATGCTCCTGCTGCCGTCGTTGCTGTAGGAGGCGAGGACGATGGATGGACTGGAGTACGCATTGCTGGTGACCCAGGTGCAGTGGACAGTGAACATCATCAGGAGCATGAGAACACCGATGACAACGCCATTCCTGAGATTGGCCCCCAGGCCATCGCCATTTCCCTTCGGTCTCTCGTGCTTCATTCTCCTTAATTTGCCTGCTTTGTCGTAGAGGCCTCTTCCAGGGCTCCTCTCCCGCTCCGCCTCGCTCCCCTCCTCGCTGCTGTCGCCCCCGTCCCTCTCGCTGCTCTCACGATCCTCTTCCTTGAGGTAGAGCTCGAGGAGACCACTGAAGGCAACCCCAGACAGCATGCAGACCACTGGGGTCAGTGTCAGCATCAGACGCACCATCACTCCAGCGAAGTAGACTGCGCTCAGGGCGTACAGGATTATGAAGACCCTCTCGTCGTTTATTCGCTTTATGCAGTACCAGAGGCCCACCGGGAAGGTCGTCACCAGGATGTGGAGGTCGAAGAAGAAGCTGAACCAGGTGGTCGGCTGGTGCTCCGAGACTGAGGCTATTATTGGAATGTGGATCTTTGCGTAACCTGTGTCCCAGAGACTGTAGAAACGACCGCTCCACGGGGCCACCACTCCTGCGTAGGTCAGGGAGATCAGGGCGATCAGCAGGCATACCACGGTGGCTACTACTATTCCACCGAAGTACTTCATCTCGGATTTTGTGAGCACTGTGCGAAAGTATCTGGAAGTCGAGAACGCTTTTATTTTCGGGGGCTTTGGGTGGGAGGGGTTTTTTTGCTTTGGGGAATGGGGTTTTTTTGGTTTTATGAGGGCACGGGATTTGCGGGACTCATTCCCGATTTCAGTGTTTATTATCGTGAGGAAGGAAAGTTACCTTTTTTCAAGAGTAGTTGGGAGGATTTATGATAGTATTTTCAGAGCGAATTCGGGGGTTTGTAGGTGAGCGCAATTTTACTGCACGAAATTGGAAAATTTGATGGAGGAATTTAATTGCGTAAGGATTTCTCTTTCACTTTTGAAGAATGTCAGAATTTTTCAATTAGGGGTTTACGAAGTTCAAAGAAAGTTTTGAATTTTAAGTTTTTCATTGAGAATTACTGATGTTCTCAGTGAAACTCATGGAAATATGAATTTCACTCGAATTTTATGCCATGATGAGACAATATTGCGAAGGGAATTGAATATTGGTAGCCCCGATGAATAAAATTTTCGAGTTTTTTAAGCAACTGAAGCCATTGCAGAATATTCAGAAGGAGATAATGGAAATTAACCATGGGAATAACAAGTGGATTTCAATTTTTTTTCATCGTTAGACGATTAAAACCCAAAACCCAAATTCTTATATCATTTATAACTTTGGTATCTATAGTGCAAGAATTCTGGTTCTGCAGAATAATCATTTTATGGTGAAAAAAATTGAGATCCAGTTTTTACCATTGCCATTTCTGTTGTTCCTGAAGGATTTAGTAAAAATTTTTAAATATTCAATATAAATCATAAAATATCAGAACACTGTTAGAAATTTTGCGTCACATGTCCATTCGAAATTCAAGGAATTTCGTAACTGGAAATGCAATTTTTCGGAAAAATCAAAATTTTTGAAAATTGTGATTTTCATTTCAATTATTCCCCGAAAATTGCTAGAAAACAATAAAATTCCGGTAGATATATTCTTGAATATCCAATTAATTAAAAATTCAAGGTAATTTTGGTACTGAACATTCTGAAATTTGATGATTTTCCATCCTCAAATCACATTCAATGTCACTCTGCTAAAAATTACTAATCAACTATCCCCTAAAGTCCAATTTTTTCACACAGTGAAAAACAATACCCAAAATAATTATCATCATTCCTCCACCATTCCTCGATCATCAGTAAAAACCATAAACAACCGAGTTCAACAATCCCACCAAAGCTCTGTGGCTTCTCGCAATAAAACGCCCAGTAAACTGCAACAGAAGCCACAAAAAAACCGCAACTGACCTGAGTGCAGCAATTAAGATGAGCAATCCAAAGACCCCTCCAGCAGCCATATGTTCCGAAGTTCTGATCGGCTGAAAGCCAACAAAGGGTATCTGCATGCTCAGCAGGAGACCAAGAATATAAAAAGTCGTGTAGCTAACGAACAACCTATTGCTGTACCGATTCATAATGAGAAGTACAAAAACGTGGAATGGAATGAGATTGATGATGAAGACATATCCTCCCCATGCGGACACCATGTAGAAGTACGAGAGAGCAGTCATGGCGGCCCAGAATATGGAGCCAGTCTTCACAGACTTGACCCACAGGTAGTACGTGAACTGGAGTGCGAAAATGGCTATTCCCTCGTTGTCGTAGCTCCCCGCGACAGAGCGCGAGATGTATCCAGGAACAATAGCGATGAAACAAGCTGCGAAGAGGCCGGCCCCAGCACTCCACAACTCCTTAGTCAGGAGGTACGTCGATATCGCCGTCAGCCCGCTGAAGATTGGCGCCAGAAAGACACATATGTCCCTTATGTGAACTGGAATGTTGAGTGAATGTAAAATGTAGTGAATCGATCCTGATGTTATCATCAGCCCTGGGTACACTGTACCACCGACGATTCTGCCTAGGGGGTACCATGCACGCTCGTCGAACCAATTCAGGAAATTGTAGAAGCCGTGCTGCACCATGTAGGCTGTTGCTCTGTAGTTGAACCTGCAAGATTGGAAATGGTGGATACAATGAAGAAGATTAACAGGTTTATGTGTGAACAACTCGGTATTATTACACCAAAGTTTCGTTTCATTTAATTTTATTTACTTGACTTTAGATGTTCAGGGGTTGGAGGGGAACAAAATGTTAAAACCCGAAAGGGTGTACAGACAATGAAGATGAAGAATGAAGAGAAATTCGTTCATGGCCCGAAGGGATTTAAATAATTTGAGGAATGAAGAGGTTTTAGTGATGTCGCATTGCCACATGGCGTCATTATTGATTCATTTTGAATGTTGAAACGTGGCGCAGGACTTCAATAAACAATAATACGTTGATGCTGAGTTTTGAGGGAAATCTTTGAATCTGAAGAAGACGTAGTGATAAAAAAAAATATTTTGAGAAATTTCTGGTAGGCTTCTTGGGAATTTTTATTACATTATAGTGTTATTTCAAGGAATTTAGTCATTGAAAATGCAACTTTTCTTGGAGGAATGACTATTTGTGAATTTTAGTTCAATTATTACGGGAAAATCTAAAGAAATCTGAGAATTTAGGTAAATATATTCTGTAATTTTTCATTAATTGAAGATTCAGCGTAATTTTGTGCTGAATATTTACGTTTTGCATGAAATCTGGAATTTCATGGTTATATTCCCCCCCACATCAAATTCAATCTAATTCTTCTGAAAATTAAAAATCAACTTTGTGAAATTTCAATTTTTTCCTAAAAGCATCATATCTCAATGATGAATACTTCCATTGGAAATGATTTTTCATTCTGAGTAGTTCATTCTTATCTTCAATTTTATCATTAACGACCCGTAATTGATGTAGTTTTGCCATAAAATCATGGAACAATACAACGAGTCCATTTAAAGAATGAAAAATGAAAAAATTCAATCGAGTGGAAATTTTATTCACATTCCACTGAAATTTCAATGACCTTTGTCATTCATAATTCGAAATTTTATGTGAATATCGGTAGAAACTGAATTTAGTTCAATTATTCCATGAAAATCAATTTCAACGATTCGAAAATTTCAACGAGTTTCCAACAGTGCATTTCGAAAATTATTCGCCATTTCATCTATTCAGAAAAAAAAATCATCAGCATGTAGCCCCTTACCATGGATCAAACTCGTGTATGATACTCTCAAACCGTATGACCGCAAATAACCGTGATGCAAATCCTGATATCCAGGCTAGCAACAATATCGTAAAAGTAATGAGTGAACTCAATCCAGCAGCATTGGTCAACGTGGACGACTTCATCTGCTTGGCTGCGGGTTTTTTATCAGGAAACATGACCTTCTTAGTACCCTGACTCCCCTGAGCACCCGTTTTTCCCTGCATTCTGGTACTACCAATTTCCCGAGGGAATAATGAAACAATAATAACTGGTCTACTTCACGTTTCGATGATTTTTCACGATCATTTGCTGAGTATTCGTGAAAACTTGGTCATTTATGATGTTATATTTTGGTGAATGGGACACGTAGGTAATTTTTATCTCTAAAAACGCACGACTGAGCACTGCCGAGTCGCACCACCACCCCAACACCGTCCAGCCGCCTCCAGCTAGGCTAGGACACGTCAAAAGCCGGCTGCAGGGGAGCTACTGCCTTAAAACGAAGTCCCCAGGTTCTGGGGACTTTTAATTTTACGGTTTCATCACTGCTTTTGGAGGGGCGGGGCATTCAATGAGAATTACACGTTTTACATGGAAAATTTTTTATTAAAAAACCCAAATTTATTACAATGGTAATGCCCTGAAGACTTTGAAAATAGAACGATTTGGTTTTCTGGGAATTTTTCACTTTTGTAGGGACGAATTCTTCAGTCTTTGGAATTTTTTAAAATCTTATTCAGTTGGGAAAATGGACACTTTTGACTGCATTATAATTTTTCATGTTATAATTTTTGACTGGAATTTTCAGTAAAATTCTTGAGATTTTTTATTACGTGACAGGTCCACTGAAATTTCGAAGAATTTCGCCACTGAAAATTCTCAATTCAGAGATAAAAAATTTTAATTGTGAATTCCGTGAATATTTCTATTGGAAACTCATTAACTTTAAAAATTCTCATCTTCTTGTTGTTCAAGAATTTGAAATTCCAGTCGGAAATTCCATAGTTTTTATCTCTTCAATCGAATTCAATGCTGTTCCCCTGATCATTATTACTACCCTACCCTACCCTTTCCTCCAACTTTCAGTTAATTGTTTTCCTCTTTTCAACACTGTTAAAATTTTTTGGCAGAAAATGCAATTTGTGCAATTTGTGAAGGTTTTATTCAAGTGAAAGTTTCATTCGCTCTCAACATTACTATCAAAATATTCATGAAATTTCACCTCTTTTCGTGCATCGCACCCCACGCTTCGTATCAGTCCATAGAAAATTATAAAACAAGATTATTTCGAATATTTCTTGAATGAAAAACAAATTTCTACTCCTTTCAGACAATTATTAAAACTGAAAGCTTCGTCCCCCGGAGTAAAATTGACCGTTTTCTATCGTCAATAATTCCACAATTTCTTCATTTTACCTACAAACTGCGCAATGAGACCAGATTTATCCAAATCGTATCGTTCATTCGACAGATATTGATGATTAAAAAAGGTCCATTTTACATGTTTCTCCTACTATTCTGGAACAACTCAAACGAATCGTTGGATACTCCGGTGATCCTGCACCCTCTCCAAGCACGCCAAATTGTCCCACCAGAGAGGTAATTTATGCTTGAAAATTAATTGAAACCACGGAGTCAAGGGTGATTCACAATTCCTCACGAATTCCTCGATTTTGTCCTTGGAAACCCACTTAATCTCGCTGACTTCGTCGGGATTAGGGTCCAACGTCACTTTATTCTTCTTCAAAAACAGGACATAGTCGATCTCGTGCTCTCCCCAGACGTCGTCGGGCCCCGCCGCGTGGTAGTGAATCCTCGTGACGTAGAAAAAATCCTCGGGTTGAATTTCGTTGATCGGAATTCCCAGCTCGTATGCTAATCTTCGTCTCGCGGCTCGTCTGATGCCCAGGGCGTCTCGCTCTTCCGATTCACCAGGTACCTCGGTTAATGGATGACTGCAGCAAGTGTTCGTGTAGTAACTGGGGAAAGTTATCTGGAAGAGTCAGAGAAATCGGTTTCAGCGAATTATGTCATATGTTTGATTATACGATTGCAATTTGAGGAAATTTTTATCAAGTGACAGTTCCACTGGAATTTTAAGGAATTTTACTATTGTGAATTAACAATTTATTGAAAAAAATTATGAAAACCGTAATTGGAAGTTCAATTATTTTATGAAAAGCGATAGAAATTATAAAAATTAGGGTAAATGCATTCTTCAATTGTTCATTAATGTCGAGCATCAAATTTGTGAATTAAATTGCGTGGGAAAAATTTGATAGAAATCATGAATATTCAGAGTCATTCAAATTACGTTTTGCACAGAATTATAATTTTTTTTTAACATCCGTTGTTTGCAAATAAATAATTGAAAATTTTTAAACTCTCGGGAACTTAATTTTTTTAGACATGAAATCGATTTCTGGTAAATTTCTGAATATGAATAAATTTGTTACAATTTGAATTTTCAAAAATTGCAATTTTTTCGTCAATCTTTCCCGAAAAGTAAACTTTATGATTTAGGTCTAGATTTTTAAAATTGATTTTTTTAAATTTATGAATTTCTTAAACTGAAGTTTAATTATTCCATGAAAACCGATAGAAATTATAAAAATTGTGGTAAATCCATTCTGGAATTATTTATTAATTGAAAATTCATTGTAATTTGGGGCTGCATATTCATTTTTCTATTGAAAATTCAAGTAAACCGGGCGATTCTCGTCGTCCTGCCGCTCAAAAGTTTGTAATCCCATTAAATTCCCAGTGAAATTCAAAGTTTTTTCAACCGTGCAGGCACACCAGCAGCTATAAATGCGAGGAAAATGGTAGCAAAGAGTGCACCAGTACACAATCCTATTTAAAGAGTGTTCTCTCAATAGAATAAAAAACGTGTTGATCTTTCACGTCCTCTTGATGTCATGTAATCATCTCGATAATCAGTGATTTCAAGAGACATGTCAAAAGTCACGTAAAAAACCATTTTTGTGTAAAAAATGTTTTCAATTAATACTCTGATCAAACTGATAAGAATAATTTTTCAGTAGTCGATGAATTCTGAATGACCCCTCTATTCAGGGGTTTCAGAGGAAAACATCAAGAGACATTTGTCCCTGAAATCAATTCGATTCAATTCAATGCAATTTAATTCAATTAAATTCAATTCAATGGATTGAATCTCTACAAAAAAAGTGTTGACAGTTTTCTCTTAGGAGAAAATGTTCTATTGAAACTTATTCATCACCTATTGCCTCATTACAAATGTTAGAGTCGCGAGCGGGTTGGGTTCGACTAATTATTGGAATAATATAATAACAAACGCGACGATTACTAAACAATATTCTTTCATTTTTTGAATAGATTTTTTTGATCGTTGTAATTATTTTCAAAATTCAGATGACCCCAGGTTGGCCTCAGATGGTTATACATAATCATACATTCTGTATCTATCAACCAAAATTCCAGTCAATACATTTCCACTTGCGGACTCTTGGAGATTCCTCAACTAAAAAAAATTTCAACTCGATTTTGTCCATTCTCAGTTTTCAACGAATATCTCCGAATCTAGGAGAAATATCAAAATTTTCGTCATGACCTTTTTTGCAGCCCTCAATTTGCCCTACAAAAAACTTCGTGACAAAAATTCTGCTATCCCCCCTAGATTCGGAGATATTCCCCAAAAACTCAGCTGACCCCTGAATCGACTGGAACCGTTTTACGGTTTCACTGCCGAAGTATTAACTCATCAGGACGACGAATAAAGTCCACAATGAACTCATGAACATTTGAAAAAAACTCTGAACCGTCCATTTGTCCCCCCGACACCCCAAAAATCATCACTACCTTCGAAGCAGATCGTTTCTGCAGCAGAAGGTCGCCCTTCTCATCAAACAGGAAGACACTGAAGGCCCGATGAAGCGGCACACTCCCGCCCTCACTGATCCTGTGACAATGTCTCTTCGAGGCGTTCCCCAAGGGCTTATCAAACTCGTCCACGAGGATGCACATCTCCTCGAGGGCAGCCTCTTGCAGAGGAGCCACCTTGGGAGTGGCATTCCTCCCCGCAGAAGACGTCAATCCCCTCACAGCAGTCTTCATTCCACTGACAATCTTCAACATCCTCAGTCTCCTCAGTCTCGACCACAACTAATTGAAAACCCCCAGCAGCAACAGCTGCCTCAGCACTCCGGCGAGAATGTCCTCCTCCCCCCGAGTGATCTCAAGGTCTCTGGCATGAATTTTTCTCAGCGAGAATAATAAATAATTCAGAAACCCATTCAACGCGTCACCCACCTCTCACCTCTGCCCCGGATATTCCGATTTTAATCTCGCGATTGAAAAAAAAAACACTGAAACCACCGGCTTCAGATAAGAACCAGAAAAATCCTCAGCTCATTAACCCACAGATCACCAATAAAACTCCGACATCACTGATATTTCACGGTCTCCAGTAGCTCCACCGGGTCTCTCTGAAGGCTACGTCAGCCTGGAATTTTATTTTATTCACTGACCCAGAGTGAAAGTGCCCGAAGTGGGGCAGGTATTTGTTATTTTACGAATCGAGTGAATGTGAAAATAACACACGCCTTTTTTTCCCTCCACCAACACACGTGCATTACTGCTGTGGCATGATGTCACGAAGGCGTACCCCCACCACACCGAGTTGATTTGTTTAATGCGAGGAGTTGTGGTGCGAGGACTGAAGAACGTTTATTGTTGATCGTGGGGATGAGGTGTCCGGGGGTTTTCGAGGGCTCGAAGGGCCTCTGACGCTGTGAATTGGGGATTATTTTGACTTCAGGGAGTGTTAGCGACAGTTTGGAGCTCTCGGAGTGCTCTCGACGATGAAGTTGAGGTTAAGGGCCGCGAGTTTGTTCTTCTCGACGCGATCTGACATTTCGGGGAATTGTTGTTGCTTTTTCGAGGGGTCCCGGGGACTCCGATGGGGTTGGTCTTGATGGTGGAGGGTTATCAGTGTCTCGGGGTTGTGATTGTGCTTGGGATGCGTTCAGTGGCGGCTCCGAGGGCGGAGTGAGGACAGTGGCGTGGAGCTGATGCAGTTGGAACTGTTGAGGGGACTTTTTTTTATTGAGAATACTGATTTCTGTGGCTGGAGCCCTTCCGGAGTGATTGAGGTTGTGGTGTGACTCAGGGGAAACGCTTTTTTATTTGTCAGTGGTGTTGGTGGAGGACATGAAGTGTGTGGGCGAGGTAGTCTCGATTATTCAGGTATGGGTCATGAGGTTGATGGGGATGAGTCACGAATTGGGGACTGATTGGGGAAATTGTGTTTCAGGGCTGACTGGGCGAGTCATAAACGCATGGGATCATGTATGATACGTTTTTACAACAGGATGCCTGGTGTTACTGGGTTATATCGGTTGCTGCACTCCTGTCATTTGTGGGGTTCATCGTTGCTTGCATTTGCAGCTGTCGACACAGTGAGAACAAGTAGGAATGGGGTTTTTTTGGGGGCTTTGAGACTTCCCTGGGGCTAGGGAACTTCATTTCAGTAGCGAAGTAAAATGGTTTAGGTCGACTCATCTCCCAGTTGAGTTTTTGAGGAATATTTCCGAATCTAAGGGGGACAGCGAAATTTTTGTTATAACCTTTTTTGTAGAGCCGATTGAGAGCTACAACAAATGTAGTTACGAAAATTTCGCTATCTCTCTTAGATTCGGAAATATTCCTCGAAAACTCAACTGGGAGATGAGTCAATTTAAACTGTTTTACCACTTCGCTACTGATTTTTTTGGGGAAATTAATTTTGCTGGGAAATGGATTCTTCACTTGTTTTTAATGTCATTATAGTCCAACTAAATCTTCTTTTCCCTCAGAAACCTTATTTCAGGCCACGGGTTTCCATGGTTCCCATTGTCGAATTGTTGATTTCTCAAGGAACACAATTTAAATACACATTTTCAAAGGAACAGTAAATTTTAGGCTATAGTTTGTTGGATTGTTAATGAAGTCGAATAATTTTTTTTTGCATGAAAAATAAAATTGTTCTTGGACATTAGCCTAGCTTAATGGGCTTAATTGATGAATTTGTCTCCCAGTTATTGACATTAAAAAAATTATCAAGTGTCCATTTTGCCTCGACCTCATCTGTTTTTTTTAGAGTCATGAGGAAGTGGAATTATCTTGATAAAGAGTCGATTTAGAGGGAAAGGTCAAGTCGTTTTTTGCTTGAAATTTATTTTTCTGCAAAAATTTTCTTTGGCTTTTCATCGTTCAATTAATTGTTTTCAAGATGAATGAGTAAATGATGAAATTGAAATTCAATATTAGGAAGATAATCACCTGTCATTTTTGTTGATTGCGAAATTATCTGGATAGCAATCATGACAAAACGTTTCTAAAGTCATCAAACGTTATTTTCTAAACTCTACATTAATTATTTTTACTTATCGAACAGTTTTTCATAATTTTTTTCTGATTTACAAAGAGAAAAATATATATTCATCATCAAGTACATTAGTTTCCCATCACCATTGAGCTTTAATGAAGATAAACGGCCAACTAATGAAAGAGAAATTTAATACCTCGAAAGAAACAATTTTCCATGAATCATATTTTTAAATACGACTTTCGTATTGAATGAAGAATTGCATTGATAATCGTGTTACAAGAAAATATCAAGAGGCACTTTTTTAAAAATTTAATTCTCTGCAAAAAATTCATTTTTTCTCACAACTCATGACTCGTTTCCAAGATTAATGAGCAAACGATGAAAGCAAGATTTAATATTGAGAATTAGAAAAAAATTTCTCGACTTTTTCAATACCGAATTAACTAGATAACAAATGGTTTCAGGAAAAATATCAAAATGCACAATTAATGAAACCTCAAAATTTCACAATTTAAATTTCCAACAACTAAATCGTGATAAAACGCCTCTGAATTCATCAAACCGAATTCCCCAAACTCTCCATTAATTATTTTCACTCACCAGCGAGCTCTCCATAATTTCTTTCTCATTTACAAAGCAAACAGTATTCATTCATCATCCAAACATAAATCCCCCATCACCATCGAGCTTTAATCGTTAAAAAAGTTCTCTAATCGAATAAAAAGACCCATTTTTTCAAGAGGAAAAATTCTCCCCACCAAGTATTTTCAAAAAAACCAATGTTGTGGATACAGGAGCGAGTTCCTGGGTCTTCCGGGTATGGTAACGATGACCCGTGCTGAAAACGAGATATTCGATCGACAGCCGACAGTGGATTACAGTGAGATTGTCGCACTGGATGCTGTAGACAATGGAAAAAGGTGCCAAGCCCGATGAATAAACGGCATGGCAGCATGACCCTAACGCTAATTCATATTCCAATGAATTAATTATTAACCCATAACCCACGAGTGACACATTCCAACTAATGAGCATTAATCATTAATCGTTAATCACTAAATCAATCTCTGAGTTACTTTCTGGTGATCTGAGGGCTATTTTTAACTAGGAGAGAAGATATTCAAACAAACCGTCTGGAATCGTCAATAACTCAAAATCTGAAGAGTGAAATGCAATAGTTTTGGCTTCGAATGGAAGCTTTGTCGTTCAAATTTAAGTTTCGGATAAAAGTGTGTCTGACAAAGGTTTCTCCAGTTGTTCGCTAATAAATCTATGGAATTAAATAATTTCTGTTCCTCAAATGTAGGTATTCTTGCGCCCTATCAATCAACATTAGCCGAAATTTAATTCATATATTATATTTTAAATTATGGAATTTTTCCAAAAATCGGTTGTCCCACAGTAATTAAAAACAAGTGCAAAATTACTCCCGTTTTGCATATGCTAATAGTTATTTTTGGTAATAAATTAGTAATATGCTTCCGAACAGTTATTTTACGCATAGTTTCCTTCTATCATGTATAATTCATTATTTACTTCATTTTGAGATATTGATGATTCAAGACGGTCCATTTTACCTCACCTTTCCCTAAACATGAACATCACACGTTTATTCACATTAGTGCAAGGCGTATAAACCCTTCACATTCCATCACGTAATTCTGATGGATTTTTGTCTAGAACGAGTACCGCGAATCGAAGTCTTCCGGACATCCCGAAGGATCGGAATGTCGGTCTTGGGGACGGGGGGTTGGAATCGACCCCTCAAGATGTTATTTACGAGGCTGCGGAGATCATGGGGGATCCCTCAGAGCTGTATGCCACAGTACAGGACAAAAATGGTTCGTTACTGGGAGTGAATAGCAAAGTTGCATTTTGCAATATGCAAAATGTCGTTTTTAACTCCAAAGTGCTAGGTGTAATTGTGAATTTTTGTCGTCCTGCAGTGGTCAACAGGAATAATGAGCGGGGGACACGTGCTAGTTCACAAGAATCTTCGTCGTTACAAGAAGACGATAGTGCGTATCCGTATGCTAGGCTGAATACGTTAAATTCTACAAATGGTAAGAAAATTGGGCGAGTATTTGGCACCACAATGGACAAGAGACATCAGCACGCCATTTCTCGACCCGCTCTTTCATTTGAGCCCAAAAAAACATTCATATCTTGTCTGACATCTTTGCTACAAACTCGGGTCTTCAACTCGGG